GAAGCCTATCCTTTAGGGGTCATATGCAGGCAATGCTCTCAACATTATCACGGCAATGGGCATGGAACAAGGAGTGCTGATCACAGTGTTCCAGCATATGATCCCGTCGGTGATAGATTATGGACTTGGAATGCTTACCACATCAAAGAGTCAGCTGATGAAACTTGAGCGCATACAGAATGAAGTCATGCAGGTAATTCTGGGATGTACAAGAGATATCTCGGTAGTATGTATGCCATATATACTTGCACCGCCTACTATTGCAGATGGGCTCAAAGTTCTGCAAGCAAAGTCATGTCTCAGAGTAGCTGCAGACAAGAAGCACCTTCTGCATGAAGCCCTAGGTAGAGCTGTCACAGACTGAAAAGAGGAAGGTCAAATTTGGCCTAGGAAAGGAGTGGGTCAGAATGTCCCAGCAAGAATCAGACTTCTATAGGGTTCTTAGCACTTTGGTTCATGAGTGCAGGAACTGGCAAACTGGGGCTGCAGAATAAGAAGTTCAACAAATGATTCATGATAATTCCAGCCCATGTGATGTGATTATCTATACGGACGGCTCTGTGTTTAGATGCAGACGAAGTGCATGGGGGTTCATAGCAAAGGCGAATGGATGTCGCTTAGTGCAACAAAGCCTGGCATAAGATATCACAACCTCTAGTTTGAGAATAGAGGTGGAGGCAGTCAGTGTTGCTTTCTGCTGGCTTTAGAATCAGCTGTACATACATGTCATGATTGTAACTGACACACAGAGCATGTTGAGAAAGATGGAGAAGGCATGCTCCGTGCAGAGTGGCAAGCATTTTGGGTAGTTAGCGTCCGTTGGATAATTTCTTCAGGTCATGCCTGTGTGTTATGAAATGAGCAGGCAGCTAGGCTTGCCTGTTTGGTACTACTTAGTGGTCCACTGATGTATGACAAGCTAGATAATGTGTGGGCCCTTTGAGAACCCTTTATGAGCGAGTGAACAGTGTGGAGACACAAACAAATTAAGGTATTTTAACATTAATATATAATTTGTAATGGTACTCAATTTCTGCTTATTTTAACACGCGTTGCTGTGGCCCCGAATGGTGAATGGAAAAGAAAGAAAGTAGCTCCCAACTAACAGTGTCTGTCATAACCCTCAACCCCCTTCCCTCTCCCCTCCACCCAGTCATATCTCCCTCTCTGAAGATTGAAAAATCATCCCTGGCGAAATTATTAAAATAGAAATAGTTAAGAAATGATAACTTTAAAATAATGTTTTCAGCTCTTTCAGTTAACAGTGTCTGCCACCAACCCCCTCCCCCCCACTAATTAAATCATCCTTGCCGAAGGATGGGAAAGTCATCATCTGACGAAATATTGTAACTAAACTGAGCTTTGCACCCGTGTCCACCCAGAGACAGATGGATAGCATTAATATGTAATGAGAAGTAAATATGGCCAGTGTAACAGCTACCACATCACCCATCCAGTACCAGTACTACTGCTACCACTACCACCACCACCTTCAGAACAAAAACAGAAAAACAGTCACTACTGTCTGTGCAGGTCGGTGTAGCCAGAGGGGTTAGCGCTGCATGATGTCGCCACAGACTGTTTAGTGTAATTGAGCTCCAAAAAAAAAAAAAAAAAAAAAAAAAACCACTCCATCACCTAACCAGTGATGGAACCCACAGTAATAGTCCGTTCTATACTTACAAGTAGCGGAATTAAAAGCCCCCACCCTTCATCTCCCCTCTCCGAAGGGACGACGAATGTTAAATGACCTTGGCATCCGTGTCCACCCAAAGTAAAGTGGACTGTAAGCAGTCTTAGTTAACAGCTTCTGTCATCAACGAATAGTTTATTATCGAGTGAAGCGTCGCGGGGAGGATAAATGGGACTTTACGAAAATCGGATGTCTTTAGGCGAAAGGTGCAGATATTGCAGCCTAGCTGTAAACCACAACACAACATGCCAACAGCCCTCTTGAGGGAAAAAGAAAAATTAGCACCCAGTGGGTAATCGAACACCGGTCAACGACGTGAAGGGCGGAATACGTATAAATATACTACCTAAGACTGAAGAGTTTGGATCCGATATCGCAGCCTAGCTGTAAACCACAACACAACGTTCCAACCGCCCTCTCAAAAGCGAATGAAGATTACCCGTGACATGACCAACATTTCGTCGCCGCTATCGCAGGCTAGCTGTAAACCCCCAAACCCAGCGGAAAGAAGACGTAGATATCGCAGCCTAGCTGTAAACCACAACAAAACATGCTAGCCGCTTAGTAAAAAAAAAAAATAAAATTTAATCACCCAGCAGGGCATTGATCGCCAGTCACCCGCGTAACACGCAAAATAGACAACTACGCTACCAAGGACTCAAGCATCTGCCCAATTATATCTCCCTCTCTGAATGATTGAGACATTATTATGTGGAGACATTGTTAAAATAGAAATAGTTAAGAAATGAGAAATGTAAAATAATGTTTTAAGCTCTCTCAGAACAGTGTCTGGCATCAACCCCCCCTCAACACCCCCCTCTCCCCGTGACAATCATATCATCCTCTACGAAGTATGGGGAAGTCATCGCCTGACGAAATATTGTTGTTAAAATGAGCTTGGCATCCGTGTCCACCTAGACAAAAATGGGTAGCATTAATCTGTACTGAGAAGTAAATGTGGACAGTGTAACAGCTAGCACATAACCCATCGAGTACCATTACTACTGCTACCACTATCATCACCACCGTCACAACAACAACAACACAAAACGGTCACTACTGTCTGTACAGGTCGTTGTAGCCAGAGGAGTTGGCGCCGCATGCTGTCGCCATGGACTGTTTAGTTTAAGTGTGTCGCCGACATAAAACTCCATCACCTAACCAGTGATGGAATCCACAGTAATATTCCGTGATATAAAAAAAATGTACACCATACTCACAAATAGCGGAAATAAAAACCAGCACTCGTCATCTCTCCCTCTCTGAAGTGACGATGTTTAATTAACCTTGGCATCCGTGACGACCCAAACCAAACTGGACCGTAAGCCTTCTTAGTTAACAGTTTCTGTCATTAACGAATAGTGGCAGCCACCAAGTTAGGGGAAGAAAAAAAAATTATATCACCCAGCTGGGAATCGAATCCCTATCACCCGATTAGAAAAGTGAAATGCTCACAACTAACTACGCTACTAAATACTTAAGCATTTAGTAGTAATGAAAGTATATAATAATAATGTAAAAGTCGGTGTTGCACAGTCAAAGGTGGCCAATTGATTAAAAATTAATCCGGGCGGGCAATTAAACAAATTATATATACCGTAAATCTGGGAGAAATGTGGCTTTTCTGCCTCCCCTCACGCGTGAACACTGACCACAAGGAGTTTGTCACCCGGTCGCCGCGCAGAGTGTTTTTAACCAACTATGCTAGCGAGCCGGGCGCTGGCTGTGCTAATAGAAGGGATTAAATGTTATGACAGAATTGCAAAAGCTGATGTGACCGTTGCTGGAGCTACGGCGTTCATGGTTTGTGCGATTTTATGACAAAAAAAATCATGCTATAAGTCAGAGGCAACGTTGTGGCGCGGTGATTTATGTCACAGGCGTGAGGGGAAGTTAAGTCCAGCATGATGTGTATAAGGAGATACTCCGTACGTCACTCGGGCGCCAGTCCTTCACTATCCTGGTTGTACGGATCCTCACGCAAGACCCCTACAGCACGTCCTCGTCGTGCGCCACGGATAATGTCTCAAATGAGCATTAACAGAGCTGTCAGGGGATCTCGGAGTTTGGCGGCCCCCAGAGGTGATGTGTCCTTGTGACTCTCATCAGCCCGCCCCCAAATGCTTGGGTGAAAATGTTATCAAAACTCATTAGGAACATGAGTAAGGTTGACAAACATACAGCTAAAATTACAACCCTTGGTTAAAAGACTGCTGAGTAAAGAGAACATTGCTCACTGCACATCCTCTGTTAATTCTCAGTGTCGTCGTCACCGCGCTGAGGGGCAACACAACAGCAACCATCCATGGGCTGGCCATCCTTGTGCATCCCCGGTTGGCCCTCAGTGTCGTCGTCACCGCGCTGAGGTGCACCAAAACAACAACCATCCATAGGCTGGCCATTCACGTACATCCTCGGTTAACCCTCAGTGTCGTCGTCACCGCGCTGGGGTACACCACAACAGCAACCATCCATCAGATGGCTAAGCCTAAATGTCCGACAAAACTAGATCATACGGATCAAAATCTGACCATCAAAATTTGCACTGAACTGAAAGAGACCGAATACTCACACCCAAAGACCTCACTCGCCCGAGTGTTGGGAAAAACTGACAACGATATGCCTGATTCAGGATGTGAAATTCTGTCGGGCTAATGTACCTATCTGTGTGGTCACAAAAGTCCAAAACCCAAAGGCTGCTCCCCGCTGACTTTCAAAGGGCGCAGCCCCTGTCGAGCGGGAGACCTGATACGGTTGTGAGGTTAAGCAGGCATGTGCAGGACGTGACGATTCCTTGGGTGAGCCCAGAAACAGAGCGATATGTGCCGGCTCTGCATGCATGGAAGCCTCCTTGGATGGCGGGGAATGCCCATGATCTGCCCCTGCCTTCCCTTGAGGGCCAACTGTTCCACAAGGGGCTGCCCCAAAGGGGTACTCCGGGGGCAATACCTGCGGCGAAGGCGACAAAATGGACACCACACAAATCAGGCAACGTCTCGACCCACACAAAACAATGGTCACAGTCACCCTAGAAATAGGCCTGACGTCTTCCTTCGAAGTCGGCGTACAGCTGCCCAAGAGGCAGGGAAATGAAAAACGGTTGTACACGCAAAAATCAGGTCCAGGTGAAAGCCAAAAGTCCAAGCGGACGATTAACCGTGACCTTCCACTGGAGTTCACAGCCGGTGTTCGATGAAAAAAAAAAAAGAGAGAGGCAACGTTGTGTGAAAATTTGAAAGCAATCGGTTCAGTAGTTTCCGAGTTTAGAGCTAACGACATCGGAAAATTAACATTTTTATTAATATAGATGATTCCAAATTGCACCCTTTTTTTCAGGACAACTTCAATCTACTGTTTTATCGTGCAACACAAGCACTTAAGGAAGACAACAACATTAGAAAAATCAATGCTTTGCTTGTAAGTGCATAAGTTATTTAAACAAACAGTTATTTTATGGACAGCTTTAATCACCTGACTGTTCTTGTTATTTGTAGCATATTTATTGTTTGTTCCATAAAACAAATTGTAAAAAGTTTAAAAAATTTAAAAATAAAGTTTGAAGAATAACAAAGTGAAGACTTGCATGGTGGATACCATTGTGATGTGTAAAGTAAAGATCTTTACATTTACTTCCACTTCTTAGCGTCCACTGTAATCTCTGGCAGAAAGTTTTGGTGGTTTGTCCACTTCTGGATTTTAGCCTTTTTCCAGAACTTGATTTTGCATGCATATCCATTTTACAGATGTGGCTTATTTATGTGCAGACTGTTGGTTCCTCTCCTCTCAGGCAGATGAACTCTGACTTCAAAGGAAATACCCCCAATTTGTTGCTTTTTACCTTTTACAACATCCTTTTTAAGGGGGTGGTGAATCCATCCCCCCCTTTCCCTTAGTGGGCCCTGGAAACCGCACATGGAACATTTACTAGAAGTGGGTTAAAAGCAAGAGGATGGACTTTGCCATACTAGTTTTTATCCCATACAGCTTGGTCTATCTTCTCATAGTCGTTAATTGCCCACTGAGAAAATTGGCAGAAAGCACAAACTGTTTAGTACCAGCGATGACCTGTCAACGCATGCACTCTTGAAGGAATTATGGAGTTCAAAACTCATGACTTTTGGTAAATAGCATAATTGCCATATAAAACACCGCCTCTTCCCTCTGCCTACATTTATAGGATGTTAACTGATTGATGGATTGAAGGACCTTCTCCATTGATCATGGCACTGGCATGCCATCCAACATGACTTCTTTGTTTTTCTGCCTCTACCTCTTCTACCACTTATCTCTCTGGTCATCACATTCTTTTCCAGTGCCGCTTTTCTAATTATATGACCAAAAGAACACCGTTTATTTCTAATAAGATGTATGTAATTTTGAACACAAAACTAACAGATATGTCAGAGACACAAATTTACAAATTTGCAGGACATCAGGAGCCTCTCTTGGCAGTAGTGAAACGTCGCAAGCTAGCTTCGTTCGGGCATGTGGTGAGACATGATTCGATTGCAAAGACTATACTTCAAGGCACATTGGGGGGTAGTCAGAGAAAAGGAGGGCAAAGAAGAATGTGGACATTAAGAAATGGAGAGGACTAAGTTATCATTCACTTATTCATCACATTATTGTTACTCTGACAGTCGAAGATATTCACAACATTCTCAGAAACCATATTTTCATTGCCTCTAAATAAAGTAATGGACCTTTTTTTTACACCAGTTGGGTATTAGACATATGATGCAAGGCTCAGATTTCTTAACACTCTGAAGACGACGTGGTCAAAATATCGGCCCAGCGCAAAGTAGCCAGAAGGACGGCTGGACCGATCGGTTGGGCCTTGTGTAATAAAAGCCTTGAAATTGGCTGGCAGGTTTTTGCACCAGCCAATCAGACTGCTTCTTGCATTTCTTGCACATGTGGGCTGTTCATTAACGGCTTTCGAGAAAGTTAGTTTGATGTGTACTAAGATTTTAGGTCTATTTTGGAAAGGGGAGGGGGGGAGGGTGTTACCTGTACCCAAAAAATGGCAAAAAGGACTGTTGCATCATAGCAACTGAAACATGGCTGGAGGCAGGAAAATGAGTAGAACTATGTGCCAGACGTGTCTGAAGGGCCTCTAAGGGTCTTACTTCCCAAAATATAGGCGTTAGGACTTATTAAAGCTTCATCCATAAAAAAATTCACCCAAATTTTTCAGGTTAGTTATGATTGTTTCCAAGTTTAAAAAAATGGCTTGCATAAATTTTGCAAATCAGAATAGTTAATTTGAATAAATGTTGAGATTTCAGTTTGATTCATAAATATTCTGTTAGTTCATTCAATTTCCTACACAAATATAAATAGTTTTTTATATGTTAATTAAACGCTTTATTTTTTATAATTTTGTGTGTATAAACTCTGAGAATCCCCTCCTGAAGGCTCCGTCTTCTTGGCACCGAAACTCTAAAAAGGCTCCGTCTCCAAAGGGTTAAAGACCAGTCGGCACTCTGTTGATGAGGTAGTCAACATCATATCGGTCAAATTTACTTCACAGGACAAAACTGGTATCCCTTTTAGGTTGGGTCAACTTGGAAGACAAGGTCAGTTTTGAAAAAATTCATCTTGGAGTGGATTAAAACCAAGACTTCTTGGAGGCAAATGAGCATCAAGCCACTATGTTATCACAGCTCCTTATTGCCTTTAAGCTTTTCTTAGTTTGTTCACTCACATTCCAAGATTTGCTGCCAAACAGCAATACAGTTATAATATAATATTTCATTTCTTGTTATGTGAGTTGCATTTCATCTGTTCTATGTCCAGTATAAATAACAGATCATTTCACTGTTTATTTGTGTTTGCAGACATTATGTGCAATGGTGCGAGGCATATTTAGAAAGAGCCAAGGCAATTATGGCTTTGATGTCATTAATCTGCTCATAGGATTTGATTCAGCTGAATCTGTCATGCAGGTAAGACAGATGTATTTTGTCCTCATGTGTTCTGGGTACTAATGTTTGCAAAAACATGCTTTATAGATTAGAACTTTCAGTTAATTAATCTGTTGAATAAATTCAAAGAAATGGTGGGGTGGCTTGTGTTCAGAGTGAAGAGACTGAGGTGAGGAAAGACATGAAGACTATCTGTATCTCCATGTTGCTGGCGTGGGGGAGCTTGAGTACATAGCTTCATGCAGGCATCTCAAGCCAGACAGGTCAAAGGGTAAATAAGAGACTAAAAGAGACACCCTGTTCCTCCGAATTGGGGATTGAAGTGAGGGGGAGACAGACCCCACATTTATAAAACCTCTTTCTTTCATGAAGTGAAGCAGATATACACCGAGCACATGGAGCTAGTCAGTTGGGGACACCAGACCTTTAGGAGAGGGAACTCTAATCACAGACCTCCATTGTCTAAAGGCTAAGTCTTGGTTGACCATAAACTAAGGAAGCTCATCTTAACAGAAAAACATGTCAGAGTTGGAGGTGCTGGGCCGACCGTCGCAGGTATTTCAGAAAGTGTCCCAGCTGAACTTGAAATGATGGAAACAAAATAAACATGCTTTGTGTATGGCATATGATTTCCTTCAATGGAAATAGTTTTTGGCTGTCTTTGTTGTAAATGAAAATGGGATGTATTGGTTTTATACTTTCTGTATGTAGCTGATGTTTGTTTACAGTGGAAATTGTAATTTTAATTATAAAAAATATTTTGTCGTCAGTTGAAATACTAGCTGTATATTTGATAGATGTTTGTTGACAATGGAAATACTTGTTTTATGTGTGGTAGATATTTGCTGACAGTGGAAATACTTGTTTTATGTGTGGTAGATATTTGTTGACAGTGGAAATACTTGTTTTATATATGGTAGATATTTGTTGACAGTGGAAATACTTGTTTTATATGTGGTAGATATTTGTTGACAGCGGAAATACTGGTTTTATATGTGGTAGATATTTGCTGACAGTGGAAATACTTGTTTTATATGTGGTAGATATTTGCTGACAGTGGAAATACTTGTTTTATATGTGGTAGATATTTGTCAACAGTGGAAATACTAATTTTATGTGTGATAGATATTTGTTGACAGTGGAAATACTAATTTTATGTGTGATAGATATTTGTTGTCAGTGGAAATACTAGTTTTATATGTGATAGATATTTGTTGACAGTGACAATACTAGTTTTATGTGTGATAGATATTTGTTGACAGTGGAAATACTAGTTTTATATGTGATAGATATTTGTTGACAGTGGAAATACTAGTTTTATGTGTGATATATATTTGTTGACAGTGACAATACTAGTTTTATGTGTGATAGATATTTGTTGACAGTGGAAATACTAGTTTTATATGTGATAGATATTTGTTGACAGTGGAAATACTAATTTTATGTGTGATAGATATTTGTTGACAGTGGAAATACTAGTTTTATGTGTGATAGATATTTGTTGACAGTGGAAATACTAGTTTTATATGTGGTAGATATTTGTTGACAGTGGAAATAGTTTTATATGTGGTAGATATTTGTTGACAGTGGACATATTAGTTTTATATGTGATAGATATTTGTTGACGGTGGAAATTAGATATTTGTTGACAGTGGAAATAGTCATTTAAGCATCATTTTTGTTTTCATTAAAACTAGATAATAAAACAGCAGCCCTCACTGGGGTAATAGCTAGCTAATGCTGACTCAGAGATCATGTATTAAAATCTTTCTCTGAGACCAGGTTCGTTTCTATTGGCCTGGGCTCTCACTTTCACCAACCCTAAGCATCTGTGGCTAAATGTTGGGATGTAAAGGCAGTCAGCGGGATATTAACCACCCATTGAAGACCTTTTGATGTATAAAATGGGACTAACACCATATACTCTGTAAACCTCATGGTGTGAAATAGTTCCTTTCGTTTAGACTTTTTATAAACTGTCATGGCCATCTTGAACTTTCTTTGTCCCTGTGTGGGTTCCAGGGCTCCATTTAAAGAAAAAGGTGTACAGTGAAACTATTTTAAAAAAAAAAAAAATAGATGATTTTCAATGCTGATCAAGATAACTACACCTGGTATTATCACACCTAACTCAGTCTTCACAGAGCACCTGCTAATCTGCTGAGAGCATCACACAAAGTGTGAACTCTGTAGCTGCAGTGAGATCCATATGGATCTAATACAGCATATTGTAATTTGTAAACCCTTTGACAGTCCAGCAGTGAACTACTGGCCTTCACAATCCAAGGCCAGTAGGTTGATCATTTCTCCATCATGACCTGCATTTATTGTACGATGTATGTTTGTTTATTAACATTTCTATTCATGATTTGTAACAGCATGTAAATCTATTCTGCTGATATATTCCTTTATTTTAATTAGTCCTTAATAGAGAGCATCAACATGTTCCTCACTGGAGATTGTCCTACAGGCTTGAAGAAATTAGCCCTGAAGTTTATGCTTGTCCTAGTGACGGTTAGTCCTTATTGTGGTACCCTTTATCTAACTTGTTGATAGTTTCATTTATAGATCTACAAATTATCATCATTATCATCTTGTGCCATAATGACATCTGTGTGATCATGGTGCACCTATTTATTCAGTCATGAGTCTAAAATCAGATCTGTGTTCTTGTATCAATGACCAAGCCTTCTGAGTATTTCTCACTTTGGTTCCTTCTACCTTTTCTCAAGTTTACCACTTTTATTTTTGCTCATAACATGCCAGAATATCTTAACTGTTTATTATATATATATGTATATATATATATATATATATATATATATATATATATATATATATATATATATATATATATATATGTATATGTAAATATATCATGTCTATGTGTGTGTGTTTATACATACACCTATACATATATGTTAATGATTCTACATGAACTCAAGGCAGCATAGCAATAAATGTAAAAGTATTGGGTAATTTTCTATATACATTGCAAAAATCCTGCCACCTCTGAGGATTGAACTCAGACCTTCCCACATGTGCTTAGGCTGTGTTTTGGGGGAAACATACAAGGACAAATGTGACTGTTCATCTTATACCTACAACGGATACACATGGGGAAGCTCACAGGTGACATTTTATTGTATTGCTGAACTGAAGTCAGTGAGACCATGGCAGGGATTCTTCTTCTTCTTTTGCCTCCACACTTAAAAGGGTGATTGGCACATTGTATTGTCGATGATGTCTGCACCTTTCAGCCCTGTACAACAAATTTAATGAAACACTTTATTAGTAGTTTTTTATGACATGCTTGTTAAAGGGCAGTGTGTCTGTTCTGTTTTCCCCAAATGGGGCTCAGAACCCAGATAGGGAAATTACAGCGTGCCTTTTTTTTAAAACCTACGGAGCACCGATCATCCAACACATATTATATAATAGCTGCCTGATTTTGACCCAGAGATAAGAAATATACAGTTGTGAGGAATGGAACTAGTTTCTCACCTCAAATAGTTTTAAAATGTTAACAAGTCACACCTCTTCAGCAGTAATTGCTGTCTAGGTACTTACACTTTATTACGGTGACAACAATGAGTGAATATGTGTTTGAGTATCTGTGTCAGTTTGTCCATATTTCTTTGCATGTAAAGGTAATGCAAGGATAAAAGCATTATGTTTTGATATTTCAGGCAACAGACAATATAAGCCAGAACACGATGCTGGAGTATGTTCTCATCAACAGTGTATTTGAGTCTCTGTTACAGGTAAACTCTAGTGAGGTTTTACTGAAGAGTAACTGTAAGTAGGGATAAAGAGTTTGTTCACTGCTGCCATAATACTGAACAATTTAAAGTCACTTATGTTTGGAAAAATTAATGACAGCAGTTTATCATACAATTAACAATCGCAACAGTAAATAATATGGAACTATGAATGCACAGATGCTAGCATGTTGACATGTCAGCCTAGTGATTATTTGTTTGTTGTAAACCCAACCTAAAATGAGACCCGGAAATGTTCTAGAAAGGAAAGATGGTCTTCATAATATTGACCTCATCACTCATTGGTGCTAATTTATCTATAAAAATATGAGACCAGCACCAGTTACCCAGTATGCCCTAAGGCATACAAGCAGGTTCTTTTCTTTTTTCAAGTTTTGAGTTCCGAACAAATTAAAATCACACAGAGACAAATCAGGACTATAGGTTGGATGTTGCAGAATTACCCACTTCTTCAGTGCTAATACTTCCTGCACAGTCTTTGCAACATGCAAAGAAGCATTATCAAGCAACAGAATTACACTGCAAGAAAGTATGCCAGGATGTTTATTCTTGTCGGCTTTATGCAACATTTGGTGGTTGGTCAACATCCGTAGTACTCACTGTAAACATACCTTCAGATATTGCAATGTCTTATAAACAACCTTTTGAACTGTCCCAGTTGAAACATGGAATGCTTATTTATGACATCTGTTCTCCTGTACTGCTGCAACAGTTGGCAGTTGCTTTTCCTTTTGCAACAGTATGTCTTGAACTCACATCCTTTCCTAAATATTTGTGCCAAGTCTGTCACTGTTGTCTTCAACAGACATTTGATTTCATAGCTGCCTGCATTCTTTGATGGATATCCACTGGTAAACATCCTTTGAATGAAAGAAACTGAATCATTGTTCTTCAAGCTTCTTTGGACATATTTTTTTTAATCAACCCGGCCATTTTTTTCAGTGGTCAGAAATAGAACCTATGCATCATGAGATGATAAGTACATGCTCTTTTATATATTGGCCAGTACTTGTCACATGACCAGGACATGAACACTCCTTGTAAATTGAACTATTACTGCAATACCACACTATGTTAAGCACCATTTGCATTGAGTATTTACTAGTTCTGTTTGTCCACATCCAGACTTTGAGAAAGATATCAAAAATGGAAAGATAAATGGCATAAAATATGGAAAGACATACTTACTTAAAGAAAAAAACACACACACACAAATAAACCAGTAAGCAGTATCCTTCCAGTAATGGCTGGGTGGTGTTTTTGTGTGTAGTTGCTTTGACCATCTGTAATTGATCAGATTCTAGGAAACCGTAACTTGAGGCCAGTGCTTGGACAAGATGCTGTGCTGTTGCTGACCTTGCTTGTGCAATATAGGAAATATGAGGTAATGTGAATGAACTGTTTTGTAATGGTTTTCTTGTCATGAATTATTGTTGAACATTATCTTTGTTTTTATTATAACCAGCGGTTTTCTCCTTTGTTTTTTGATTAAGTTAAGAACCAACATCAGAGATCTCTGAACATTCCTCCCCCATTTTCATCAGACAGCAAACAGTTCCAGTTCTGATAGTACAAGTTGCAGGCTGTTTGTCTTTCTTGCTTTTCCTCTGTGTGTATTTTGGTCATGGTAGCATAGTGGACAATATTCAGGCTTACAGCAGTCAGAGTTCAGTTCCCGGTTGAAGCAGAATTATTCAGGCTACTTACAACTTTTAGGGTTGACACCAGTTAATCGTTGTTTGTGTTTCCCCAGGAAGACTAAGTTTAAATTCCTGAGTTATGCCGGAGTCAAAGATAAAGAGTGAGCGTACCAGCTGGCAAGTAATGGACCAATGTGTGTGGGGAAAAGTATGGACAAAGCTGATATTATCAACACTAGGCTGGTGGATAATGAAGAATCTCAGAGACTAACATGATTCCATGACCTAGGAGTAAATCCTGGTGAAACATATCTATACCATCTTTGAGGCCAGATAGGAGACATAACCACCTTCTCATGGAGACAGTCAATAGAGTGGAGGGGCTGTTGCATCAGAGGATGAAGCACCCATAGGAATGCCCAGTATGCACCGATGTTGACTGTGTTAACATGAGAACGTATTTAACATCTTGAGTCCAATTCTTTGAGGTTCAGGTTGCCAGAAAAAGAGCTTGCATCTATAAGAGTGAGGTTGATGTAATGATTTTCCTTCTTACACTGGACTGTTTTGCAAAGCTGTCTTTCTCCTTATCAAGATTAGAAACCAGAGGGATCAATAAGACTGGTACAGGAACTTCTCACACAGATGTGGGGAGTCATAGGATATAATGAATAGACCCACTGCCCCCTAACAAGCATGTAATTAAAGACTAATTAGGGGTTGACTGATATTGTATGTGTTGGACTGAAGGGCGCTGATATCGCAGCTTGTCTGTAAACCACAACACATCAACTACCTTTTTAAGAAAGCATACGAAGAAGAATAAGAAGAAAAAGGAAATCACCACTCACCAGAGCGAATGAATAAAACAAAATGACCTGCATACTAGAATAATCTGTATTAGTAATGACACCATGCCTGATGTTTGGTTGTCTTGAAATTTTTTTTTCAGTCGGCTAATCCATATGTGGTTAAACTATCTATACTGGATGATGAACTTGCTCTGACGGTGAGAACAGTGATTTCACATTTATGAATACTAGTCTAGTTTTATAATTTTTGTGAATGTAGAACTCATTTAGTATCCCCCCCCCTCTCTCTCTCTCTCTCTCTCTCTCTCTCTCTCTCTCTCTCTCTCTCTCTCTCTCTCTCTCTCTCTCTCTCTCTCTCTCTCTCTCTCTCTCTCCCTCTCTCTCTCCATCTCTCTCTCTACCCCTCCCTCCTTCCTCTCCTTTTTCTATCTCTCTCTCACATGCATGCATAAATACATATATATATATGTATGTATGTATATATATATATATATATATATATATATATATATATATATATATATATATATATTTGCAGGCACGCACACACATTTGCACACTCACACATATGCGTGCACATACATCACAACTCTACAAATATTCTGTATGTCAGTACTCATTTAGTTTTTATAATTTTTCTATATGTCAGTACTCATCTAGTTTTATCATGTTTCTGTATTACCTTGTTAACATAGTGCTACTAATCAAGTTTCATTAGTTTAATTTTTATATACGCCACTACTCAGTCTAATTTCATAATTTTTATATATGTCAGTACTAGTTTAAAGTTTTTTTTTATATAGATCAATGCTCAGTCTAGTTTAACAGTTTTTATATAGATCAATGCTCTGTCTAGTTTAACAATTGTTGTATAGATCAATGCTCAGTCTAGGTTAACACTATGTAGATCAATGCTCAGTCTAGGTTAACACTATTTATATAGACCAATGCTCGGTCTAGTTTAACAATTCTAGCGGAAAAGAGTTTCTCATCCCTTTGAAAAGTCCATCGTGTACGAATTGTCTGCCAGTGTCCCTCTGCCAACTGCTAATAAAAGTCTAACATGTGTCCGGTAAACCAAAATAAGCTTGTCGCTCGGTCGTCCAGGCATGCGGACTGTTCTAATTACGCTGTCGCGGCGACTTCTTATCTCACAGTACCTCCTTCGAAACCACTAAGTCGTCTTGTCTCTGGCCGAAATAATAACACCATCCGGTAATTCTGTGCAGCGGGGAAGCAGCCCTGAGCTTCATGAACTCAGGTGGGCCCACCTCCGGATACGTTTAGGAATCGTGGGCCGAAACGTGTGTCGAAAGAGGATAATTTCTACTGATGACTGTAGATCCCCGCTGTACTTGCTCCCTGTGAGTTTATTCTTAACAATAGTTAATTAGATCAATGCTCAATCTAGTTTAACAGTTTTTACATAGATCAATGCTCAGTCTAGTTTAACAGTGTTTATATAGATCAATGTTCAGTCTAGATTAACAATTTTAGTATAGATCAATGCTCAGTCTAGATCAATGCTCAGTCTAGATTAACAATTTTTATATAGAACAATGCACAGTCTAGATCAGTGCTCAGTCTAGATCAATTCTCAGTCTAATTTAACAGTTGTTAAATAGATCAGTGCTCAGCCTAGTTTAACACTATTTATATATATATTAATGCTCATTCTAGTTTAACACTATTTATATAGATCAATGCTCAGTCTAGTTTAACAGTTGTTATATATATCAATGATTAGTCTAGTTTAACACTCTTTATATAGATCAATGCTTAGTCTAGATTAACAATTTTAATATAGATCAATGCTCAGTTACATTATGTTTATATATAACTTTTTAGAGCTTATTGTTGATTTAGTCTCATCAATTTTTATACATTACATGTTTAGCATTTCAGTACTCACCAGCATCTAGTATTTTGTTTGGTACTACATTTCATGTTGTGTTATGACTGTCTAGTTTTATCAGTGGTGATTATTACATTTGATGGCTTACCATTGCAAATGTAGTTTCATCATGTTTTTTAAATACATTTTGTAACATGTTGGTTCTCGTCTAGTTTTACCATTTGTATTATATTTTGCACACTGTCAGTACCCATTTAATTTCATCATTAATGGTTATTACTTGTTATTGTGTGTTTCATGTTTAGACTGATCTCTTTGCATCATATTATAATTTGGTGGTATCAATATATAGTTTGGTGCATTGTGTTATTTGTCTCAACTAAAAGATCTTACTTGTTTGCTGGAGATATTTTCTGTTTGCTGTCACAGAATTGTCAGTATCTTTAAATAGTTCCACTGTATGCATTTTTTTGGGTAATTTTCAGAAAGCTTTCCTCTAATAATAAAATATTTAAAACTCATTTAGCTCAGCCATTGCTGAGTATTAGTAATAGTTTTGAAATGTGTTTGATTATTGTAGTAAAACCAACTTGAAGGAGAGAGATCATTATAACTGGAGGAAGGAGGGAGAGAGAAAGATAATTAGTGTTTGTTAGTTATATAAGTATAGTTAGACTTTTGTTATTTTATGTTTTCATCATAATAACTACATGTTACAAAATTACTTAATGATATTATAATATTTTTGGCAAATCTCCAACTTTCCAGCACAATAGTCATGTATAATGCTATAAGGGGGCATGCAAATAACACTCCTTGCCATATTTTGTAATGTGGAGGTTTATTTATGACAGTAGTATTAACAGATGTAAATTTTAAATAATTAGTAGCTATATAACCCAGTAAAAACTTGAAGTAGTTGAACATTCAGATTCTAGTTTCAGTGCGAGACAGTAGAATTGATGAATGTGCTCATATTTTGTTCTCAGGGTTATGCACAGATTGTCTCCCAGCTGCTGTCAGAGTTTAACAAGTAAGTCTTGAATCAGTATAAGAAACATGAACTTGCAGTACTTCTTCCTTCTTTGCTTCATCTGCAGTTTTAATTGTTTCTGCCCCTGATGGTCTACAAATTTCTTCAGACTTCTAGTTATTTAATGTTACTGCTGTTAATGCCCTGTTGTGGCATTGTTGTGGCACAGTCGTGCCTTCACATCCCCCAAGAAATAGATGTGCCTAGTTCGGCCAAGGTGAATGGATACAGCTCGTAGCTCTCTATTATTTAACAACAAGGCCAGTGATGTAACAATTACACAGGAGCTGGTTTATTCACAATATTCTCAACTCACACAGAGTTCATAAATTCAATAACTAATAGTATATGAACACTTCATTATCTTGTTACGGGCTATTCTTATGTCTCTCTATGAGTTCCTTAATCCCTGTTCTAGCTAAACTCCAGGTTTAACATATATCTTCTAAAACGACGTACAGCTCTAGTTTTCCAACTGGTCTCTCAGCGGTCCAGTCCTAACTGTTCTCTCAAGCGGTCCCGTCCTAACTGTTCTCTCAAGCGGTCCCGTCCTAACTGTTCTCTCAAGCGGTCCCGTCCTAACTGACCTTCTGCTCCCCCTTCAGCCGCTTACTCACTTCCCCTCGCTTTCCCGCTCTTTTCATTCTCAATCAATTAGCTCTCCCTGTCACCTGTCTTTGGTGGTCACGTTTGGATGAACGTATCTCTTCAGCTGGTCACAGTACATCGCGTTGCTCACCTCCCTCTCTATCGTATGTTTCCATCCTTCACTGTCAGATGTCATGGTTTACCATGATAACCGCACTCAATTCAACTCTGGTCATCGTGCAGATGTTCTGTATCGCTGGCCAGGCCAGCTTTCTAATCACCGTTTTCTGTCATGCTAACGAGTGAGGGATAGGCATGCTTTTATGCTGTTCTGAAATATATGCTTTATTCATTTAACCCCTTTCTGCCTATATTTTATTACATTGTCTTCTTGGACTGATAATTAAATAGGTAATTATTGATTAACCACAATGATCCACCGCTTGGGTTATGGGTAAGCAGTAGAAGAAGGTCATGGAAATTTCATGTAATTGAGACCAGAGAACACATTAGACAACAGACAGCTACAGTTCATGACACATTTGATTGGACAAAGTTTATTGTTAATTGAAATGTTTGAAAATCTGCACTTTGCTCAAATTTTTTTTTCTCCCTCTGATTTATTGTGCTGAGTATCAAAATACCATTGTATAGCATTACGATTTTATGTGTCTATACATGTGTGTGCAGAGGGTGCTCAGACAAGAGCACTGTACAGGAAGCCAAAAAAAGAATAAGAAAAACAAACTCAGAACTGGTGTCATGAGTGACTATACGTGGGATTGACTAAGGAGGGGATCCGAGTACTCATGGATGTTCAATGTGCAAGGAGGATAATCTGTGGACTAACTAACTAACTGACCAACTATATATGTGTGCATAGGCATCTGTCATTCTAAATATTGTCTGACGTACTTAATTGTAGTCAAAAATATAACATTAAAGAAGTGCAAACAAATGTGGAATGATTGTTTTCTCCCCAGTGACTATGTGAATCAGTGTGAGGAGCCTTCAACAGGATGGTTCTCTGCCCTAGCAAGTGTGGTATGTCAGACAGTTGTTACGATTTAGCCTTATGTCATATTACCTTGAGACTTGCTTCATAATTTGGTGAACTGTATTAACAGGTTCTGACGTATTTAAGATATTGTATTTTAGTGCCTAATTTTTCTTTTTACCTTATAATTATTGTCATCTAACAACACAGCTAAATACTTTATTAAAAATATTGTCATCAAACTACATTGCTGTTTATATAATTTAACTGCAGTACTCAGTATGTGATTAAAGACTGTCGACAAGGTGGTCAAGTCTCTTTGGGGGCAAGCAACAGAATTAGTAGAGAAGCAAGATTTTTATGGCCTGGAGAGAATGAGGCACGTCGGTGTAACCAGAGCGTCTGGCCGGCTCACTACACTCAGAGGAAAGGCAAGACAGACATATAACCAGATTGTGACCGGTACTATCAGTACTGGAACTCTGCGCTGTCTGCTGAAGATGAGGATGGAGCACACATGAGAATGCCCCAGTGCTGTGATGTCAATTCTTAACTCAACATGTACTGGATTAAAGTTATTATTGAACTACAGGGCTCAGTTGTCCTTTAGCAACACTTACCATTGTCAAATAATTATTTATATCTTTTAGCAACTTAGCTGATGATGTTGTATACCTGAAAGTTAGTTTTAATTGAGTACAGGGCATTGTTCGTTTCATCTTATATATTTTGACATATTTGTTTCATTGCATATTTACTGTGAGTTTATATAGACTCAACAAACAAGCCATGACTAGTAGATTGCACATTGTATTGCCTGACACTTTTAATTGTATTTTATCAGTGCATGCAATAATTCTAAAATTGTTTAAATAATTAATTTGGTAAAAATACAAACATATAGAAACACTAATGCTCAACTAGAAACTCCTTACTCTAGAACCCACAGGGAAAAAGAAATGAAGACTTAACAGCACATTCATATATGATATTAACTACATCACCCAATTGCCTAATGGTGGAAAAATATGGGGCTAGTACATATATCGAAGGAAGCCACTGTGGTGTAGCGGCTAGAAACTCCCCTCGGGCCCAAAGGTGGTGGGTTCAAATTCGCATGAGGAAAATCATATCAGCCATGTCAACACAGTCATTTAAAATGGTGGGAAAACTTTCACTGGTAAACAAGTAGCAAACCTACTGGCCGTTAGTTTTGCTGAGGAAAGAAACATCTTCATGTCAAGAGCTAGAGAAGAAGAAGTGAAGAGAGAACTGAGAGAAACCAACACAATATAACAAAATAACCAGAGGAAAACCAACACAAAGCAAGAAAATAACCAAGTTATAATGAATAGACCCTTCAGTTTCCAAGAACTTGAATGTGCTTTAAGAAAACTTAAGAAGAGGAAAGCACCTGGACCTGATCGAATAACAAGGGAAATAATAGTACACATAGAACCATCTGGTAGGCAACAACTCTTAGACCTTATCAACCAATCCAGGATTATCAAAAACAAAAAAACAGTGACATCCCTTCTAAAGATCCTTTAACGTGGGAAATTATATAGTCATACAGCATAGACCTTCAGACTAACTATACAGCACAACAACAATTCAAGGCATAGGCAGAAAGGCTGAAGAATGTAACCTAGTACTGCATGCAAAGACCTTTAAACATGTCTACAACTTTTACCTCAAAGCTAAAGGGACGCAAGTATATAGTGAGGGATCATTGGAGGAGGAAGAAAAAAAACCCAGAGGAGCTGGTTTGGTCATCATCCTGCAAGAAGGGACCACAGTGGAAAAGTCTCGTGCCTCTAGGAAACTCTCAACAAACTTCAGAGCAGAGCAGCAGACAATTATTGATGCATCCAAAGTGCTTGAGTAAAGAAAAATTTAAAACAGCAAAATTCTTTTCCTGTGTGACTACATGTCAATCCTCCAGGAGACTCAAAGGGATCCACAAGACAGCATGGAGAGAGAACTGACCTGCCAGCTTAACAGAAAACAATCAAATCTTCCTGCAGTGGAACCGACCCACTGCGGCATACCAGGAAATGAGCTGAAAGACAGACTTGCAGATAATGGAACAAAGGAGAAACAACACAACCATTCATTGTCATTAACAGAAATGAAAACACTCATCAAGGGAAAATATAAGGAATTATTGTGGAGAGAACAAACAAACAGTAAACACCCACAAGACCACCATTATCAGACTAACAGAATGCAACATATAACAATTTTCCTTCTAAGTACAGGACACTGCAGGCTCAACTACAACATGCATAAAATTATGACTATATTTTCCCCACACTGTGCATGTCAGACAGGACCACAAACACCTGAGCACATTCTGCAGGCCTGCCCACTCTACCTACAACTAGAGAAAGACACCTGGCCTCAAGAGCAAAGCGTTCTGAGCAATTTGCGGGGAACCCTGAAGGACCTGCAGCTGACAAGCGAGTTCACAGAGGCAGCCCACCTGATGGTCTGACATGAGCATATGAAACGAATGCAAAGATGAAGAAATAATTCGCATCGAGTCGAATTGTTAAAAAAAAATGACCATGGCTCCCAGGTTGACCCATCCTAAAATTGACACCAGGTAAAGTTCTGGGAAGTAAATGCAGCTGCCACATCATGCACCAAATGTCAGTTGCCTATACAATTGAAGTCTAGCACTATACGCCCAGTAGGTCTAATGGCATCGAAAAGAGTTCTTTACTTTGCATATATCAAAGATGCTTCACCTCATGAAAAGAACCCTTTACTTCTTTTTATTTAAAGAAAATTAGAGACAGAGCTTTAAACCTTACTGGACACTCTGCATTCCAAACTTTGTACCAGGAGGGAAAATATGGAGAAGGATCCGACAGATAAAAATGTAATACTTCATAACAGAGCACAAACAGCCTTCATCAAAGAGAGAAATAATCAGATGAGGGAAAGCTGGCACAAAAAGACAGCGTCATTTAACCTCGAGAAGGACACTTCACGTCTGTGGAATCTCACAGAAAGCTTGAATGGAGACAAAACAGACAAAGCCAGAGTTGTACTCCAAACAGACGATGGAGCTGTTACTGGCAAGGTAGCAGCAGATGTGCTAGCTGAAATACACCAGAAGGAAACTGAGGTTCATACTCCCATGCAAAGAATAAAAGAAGTACGAAAACAGACCAAGACTCTTCTAGCAGACTCTAGCACAAAAACAAAAGAGGCCTGCATGTCAGAAAAGTTTACTATGCAAGAGCTGGAAGTTGGAATTGGAGAGTTGAAAATGAAGAAAGCCCCAGGGGCTGACGGCATTACAAACAAATTTCTCTCTCATCTTGGACCTGCTGCCAAGAAGTTTCTCCTCTGCATTTACAGCCAGAGCTGGCAAAAAGGGGTAGTACCGTCAGCCTGGAAGGAAGCTCTCATCCAGCCTATCCTTAAAAAGGGTGGAGACAGAAAAGACCCAAAAAGCTACAGACCCATCAGCCTTCTTAGTTGTGTAGGAAAATTGATGGAGAAATTAGTAAATAAAAGACTAATATGGTTCTTGGATACAAACTCGGTAATCACCACCATGCAGACAGGATACAGACAGCACAGAAATACAGAGGACCAGTTGACACATCTGACACAGGAAATTGAGAATGCCTTCCAGGAAAAAAAGAAAGTTCTTGTTGTCTTCTTTGACCTCTCTCGTGCTTTTGATACAGTTTGAAAAAAGGCCTACAGCTAAAACTGCTACAGGAAGGAGTTGTGCACAACATGTACAAGTGGATCAAAGACTTTCTTTTCCAACGCAGAGCCAGATTAAGAATTGATGGACACATCGGCAAACTGGCAAAACTAAGAGAAGGAGTTCCCCAGGGCAGTGCGATAGCACCAATTCTGTTCCTGGTTTACATAAATGATATCATAGCAACATGCCACCAGCACGTTTCTAATACCCTACATGCCGATGACTTTGTAGTTTGGACAGCCTCTGAATACACTATCACAGCCTCATATCTGCTACAGAAAACTGGAAAATGTAGAAGCCTGGACAGAAAAGTGGGGCCTAAAGCTAAATAATTCACAACAGCATCACTTTTCTCTTTCTCCCCCAAAAAAGAAAAAATCGAAATTTGGATAAAAAACCAGCTCATTCCACAGACTGACACTCCTACCTTTCTGGGCGTTACACTTGATTCGCGACTAACTTGGAAGTCACATGTAGAAGCAGTACTGGGAAAAGCATTCAAGAAGCTTGCAGTGATTAAAAAATTAGCGGGTACCACATGGGGCGCTAACTCTAGAATCCTAAAACAAGTATATACTGGAGCAGTCAGGCCAGTCATGGAATATGCCTCCACTGCATGGGCTGCAGCAGCCAGGACAACAATGTGAAAACTGAACAAGGTTCAAAATATGGGATTAAGGATTGTTCTCGGAGCCATGAAAACCACCCCCATCAGAGAGATAGAATAGAAAGGATAGCAGATACTGAACCACTCAAACTCAGAATACAATACAAAACTCTTTTACAGTATGAGAAATTAAAAAGACTTCAAAGTCACCCACTGCATTTTAAATTTCAAGAGAGAACAAAAAACAGACTGAAGCGTCAGAGCCCCAACCACCTTGCTAGAGAACTGTACAGACAGCACCAAGATCTGCTTGAAAGAGATGTAGCACTGCGCGAAAAACTTAGGCCAGAACCATGGACAAGCAAGCCAGAGAAAGCAAATGTAGTCCTAAAGGTACCAGGAATCACTTCAAAAGATGCACAGACGGAGACACAACAGAGAACCCTGGCTCTTGCTATGCAAACACCACTTGGACTCAGGTTTTCACCGACGGCTCTGCTACAGATGCAGTCAGAAAGGGGGTTGTGGAATTTACATTAAACCCCCTAGCAGTAGAGCAGAAACTTTCTCTACCAGCAGGTGACATCTGCACTAACTTCAGAGCTGAGGCAACTGCCCTCCTCTCTGCAGTCCAACATCTCATTACTCAAGAACACAGAGGGCACCAAATTGTTAAACTTAGTGACTCATTGTCTGTTCTCCAAGCA